GTCAAAAGGTCAACAAGCAAAGGTTCTCAACTTCACAAGAGAGGTTAGTTAATAAGTACACCCTGTAGCGAGTACAACTCTAACACAGAAAAGACCTGTCTATGCTGCCCCAGAACGCCTCGTTGGACATTTCTCTTTTTCCATTTTTTTCTTCTGGGAACTAAGTGACGTAACGACGACCCAAATGGACCAATCCGTGGAGCTCCTCACACACACACAATCTCTCAGCAGCGATACTGTAACGTGCTGGGGGGTGTGGGGGGGGTGCTAGTGGAGCCTCGCAGTGGCGAAACTGTGGCACGCTTATACTGTAGGTGCAGCACCCCCCCTTCCCGCGTCCATGGTGCTCAGGCTGAGTTCAGTTTCTCGCTGTCTCGCAGACCCCTCGCAGCAACCAGGAAACGACACCAGTAATCCAGCTCACACTGTCCGCTCCTCGAGCCTCAAAGGGCGGAGCAGCAAGCCCCGCAACGTCCCGCCAACACGGCACCCACACCCCACGCAGCATTCTCATCTGTTTGTCCATACTGGTGTCATTTTCTGGTTGCTAACAAACGCCATTGTAACACATCAACACTGATGTTCCGCTGTAACGGTGGTTGACTCATCAGAACAGAGTGGGCGAGCTGACCAATCAGAGCACAGTGGGCTCACGGAGGGGGGGGGGGGGCAGAAGCTCCAACAAGCAGTGTAGGACAGAGTGAATACACATACTATACAGAGAGGCTGTATGAGAAACCAATAGGCGCGTTCACACTGGAGTACTTTTCCCACAATAGTTCATCAGAACTCAGCAAAACAATGTAAATCTATTCTAGTAGACCTCAACAATGGAATTATGATCAGTAGAAATGGCCATGACATGGGACCTTTAAGTAAATGTTAAGTTATTTAAGCTAAGCCCCTTTAGATGCTTTACATGTCATAATGTCACACAGGTTTATAAAGAATGGCCATGCTAATACTTATGTAGCATATACATGAGCTTAAAGCACCAAAAGTAAGAGTAACCTACTCATACAAATATCTGAATAATGTATATTAAATAGTTTAAATATAATCAATGTTCAAGCATCACTAATGTTGTAGTTTGAAAATGTAGGGCCAATCCCTACTACGTTAAGTACTTCTGGTTGGCTTAATAAATTATAAAAGATTATTAATAATGTATTATTTTATGTTTATTTTGTTTAATAATCTGAATCTGCAAAGCAACTAGTGATCAAAGCTATCAGATAAATGCAGTGACGTAAAAAGTACGACATTTTCTTCCAAAAGGTTGTGGAGTACAAGTTTTAAATAGCATAGAGTGGAAACACTCAAGGACAATTTTGAGATACTTGTATTTTACTTAAGTACTTTAGTAAATATACTGATTTACAGTTACTTAGTTCCTCAAAGTGTTTCCTTCCTCCTGTCCCTGCCGGCTAAAGCAAAGCTAAGCAAACTCATTTAACCTTGTGAATATTGACAGAAACCTTTAATGCAATGGCCAAATGCAATTTAACAAACTCAGAAACTAAAAGTGAAATCACTCAAATATAAATATACATTCCTGTTGTCATCTTGCAATATACTAATTTATGTAAAAAGTCTTAATTTACATTATTTAATTTCATATTCTGTTCTTGTACATATCTCATATTCTATTTACATGTATAGACTTTTTGCACTACTTTTTATTTTGTATTTTTTTTTAAATGTTATATACTGTATGTTGAGTTGTTGGAGGAGCTCAGGTCAGAATAATTTCATTGCCATTTCTACACTGTAGCTTTGTGCAATAACACCTTTGAATCTTGAATCAAAAGTTCATAAACCTCTCTTGTGTGATACGGCACCTCTACTCCTGCAGAAAATAATCGTATCCTTTCTGCTGGCTCTTCCTGTGCGGTGTTCACATGTTCTCACCATGCCGGCTCCTGTTTCCTCGCTGTGCTCCGGTTTCCTCTCGCAGTCCAAAGACATGTAGAAAGGGAGGATTAGATTCTCTGAATCGTCTGCAGTGTTGGTGTTTTTCCCCTCTGTGTGACGGACAGGAACTTGACCTCTGAGGAGGCCTCTGGTCCTCCTGTGACCCTGAAAAAGCCTCATGTAGAAAATAGCGGAACAATCACGGCTGGTCGCTGGAATCTCTTTACGACTGAGTTAAAGGAACAGTTCACCCTAAATCTGAAATACATATTCACTCTCTTACCTGTAGTGCTAATTATGAACTATGTTTGGTGTGAGTTGTCGAGTGATGGAGATATTGGAGAAGCTAACTCACCCAGCGTTACTCAGAGAATTAACACAAGAACTCAGACATGGGGGACAGCATTTACATATTTACATCAGTACAGCACCTTTTCAGTCTTTTTGACCCCTCAAAGCACTTTTACATACAAGTCAGCATTCAGCCATTCACACACATTCATACAGAGGCAGGGGCTGCCCTACAAAGGGCCACCTGGGACACTTAACATTCACACACATTGGCCATCGGGAGCAATTTTGGGTTAAGTGTATTCCCCAAGGACAAAAAGCCATGTTGACTACAGCCAGGGGATCAGACCACTGTAGGATGACTGTCTTCAGACCCATGTGTAGATGCACGCTTACTTCTATGTATTGTTCTTTCACAGGATCTGTGGATAATCTTGAGACATTGCTGTTGAGAGTTTTCTAATTTATATGTTTGCCATTCTATAGCACCACAGGCAGAGAGTAATGTAGTAACATTACAGAGAAGGCAGACACCTCTAGGGCTGATATCTCCAACACGCTGCAGCTCACACCAAGTACATTGATAAATACTACAGATAAGAGGGAAAATGTGTATGAACGTGTCTCTATCAGGATCCCTGAAATGTTTCCAAGAAATGTATCAGAATACCTTTATTCTTCCCACAGAGGGGAAATTATATGTTTTACTGCAACACTGCATTCATGTGAATTCAGCACTGAGGCATGTGTCTGCAGACCTGAGTTTATCTCTCTCTGTCCCCCAACCAGAGCAGATAACATTATTATTCCCTGATAGGAAACACAACTGACATTCTGCACGAACAGCAGCCTGAATGCAACCATTATTTTCATAATTGACATATTAACATGGAAGGGTGTAACATTGAGCCCAGTTTGAGCCTCTCCTTTATTAGCATGTATTCAGCTTATCATAACCAAATGGAAAACACATCTAATCTGCGATCTTTGAAAAACCCAGAGTCTCATTCCAAAACACACAGAAACTATTTATGAAACCTATTTGGATATTGTTTCCACTGTTTCCCCTCCCCGGATTGAAAACACATATGGTTGATTTTGGAGACAAGAAAGACAATGTTTAACTGTATATGAAAGCAAAATAGAATAAAAACATTAAATGATTTACAATAAGGTAACAAAACATGCAAAGAAATAACAAAAAACGACAGTAACTGGTAAAATTATTATTTTGGTAAACACAGTCTCACAGATTGAAAAGCTTTTTTAAAATTAATTGTCTTAACATTTACCTGTTGTTTTAAAACATAAAAGTGAGGATTTACTTTTTACCCATTTCTATGTACAGCTCTGCAAAACCAATTTTACGATTTGATTAAAAAATACTAGATTTTTGTATATTGTGTTGATTTAACTTTCCAGTAGAAATGTGAAGTAACAGAAAATAATATAACTTCAATCATCCTGCCATGTAGAAGATGTAGCTGTTTTATTTTTTATTTAAATAAGTGACCAATTGAAGTATACAAAGGATGGGATAAACATAAAAGGAGAAACATTTAGTAACACTATTTTGCTTTCATATACTAGGAATTATTATATATAGAAAGTAACATTATATTAGGAGAGCAGTCTCACAGTTGTAATAACTTTTTTTCCAAAGTTATTGTCTTAATATAGAGCTTCATTTATTGATTGAAAGTGAGGATTTACTTTAGCAAATGTACATTTATGCATGTAAAACTTAAGAACTTAAGTCCATACATTTTATATACTGTGTTGCAGGCACGTGCACACATAGACATCAAAGTGGGCTTGAGCCCCTGCCCTTTTTCTTCCTCCAGAAAAAGTTATTTTTTAATTTTTTTAAATATTTATTTTTAATGAATGAATATATATCTACTCCAGTTCAAGCACAGTTTCCCTTTCCAAAAATAGATGGATTGAATAACAAATAAAAATATCAGGTCGGGAGATTAGAGTTCCAGCAGCATGTGGTGACCCCCCTCCACGTCTCGAGCACAGCGGTGCAAATATACATATGTAAAACTTTTTTCTGTATTTGGATTTTATTTACATGTATATGAAACGGAACACGTTTGTGTGTGCATTGAAAAACACAAGTGTAGATCCTTCTGTGTGCATGTTTGTATTATGAGACTGTTCTGAGCCCATACGAATAAACCGTCAGTGTTTGCCATCAAAGCTCCAGCTCTCCTCGTGTCTCT